TTGCCGAAATGGGCGCGGTGCCGCCATGCGAACGCAGCCACTGGGGCCCTCGGTGGAGCTCCCTATGGGGCCAAGAAACGTGTGAGGGGTGTGCCGGTGCGGTGCCGCCATGCGAACGCAGCCATTGGGGCCTTCGGTGGAGCTCCCTACGCGGCCACGAAACGTGTGAGGGGTGTGCCGAAATGGGCGCGGTGCCGCCATGCGAACGCAGCCACTGGAGCCCTCGGTGGGGCTCTCTATGGGGCCACGAAACGTGTGAGGGGTGTGCCGAAATGGGCGCGGTGCCGCCATGCGAACGCAGCCACGGGGGCCCTCGGTGGAGCTCCTTCAGGGGCCACGAACGTGTGAGGGGTGTGCCGCAATGACTGCGGTGCCGCCATGCGAACGCAGCCACTGGGGCCTCCGGTAGAGCTTCCGATGGGGCCACGAAACGTGTGATGGGTGTGCCGAAATGAGTGCGGTGCCGCCATGCGAACGCAGCCACTGGGGCCCTCGGTGGAGCTCCCTATGGTGCCACGAAGCGTGTGAGGGGTGTGCCGAAATGGGTGCGGTGCCGCCATGCGAACGCAGCCACTGGGGCCCTCGGTGGAGCTCGGTGCCGCCATGCGAACGCAGCCACTGGGGCCCTCGGTGGAGCTCCCCATTGGGCCACGAAACGTGTGAGGGGTGTGCCGAAATGAGCGCGGTGCCGCCATGCGAACGCAGCCACTGGAGCCTTCGGTGGAGCTCCCCATGGGGCCACGAAGCGTGTGAGGGGTGCCGAAATGACTGCGGTGCCGCCATGCGAACGCAGCCACGGGGGCCTTCGGTGGAGCTCCCTATGGGGCCACGGAACGTGTGAGGTGTGTGCCGAATTGGGTGCGGTGCCGCCATGCGAACGCAGCCACTGGGGCCTTCGGTGGAGCTCCCTATGGGGCCACGAAGCGTGTGAGGAGTGTGCCGACATGGGTGCGGTGCCGCCATGCGAACGCAGCCACTGGGGCCCTCGGTGGAGCTCCCACGGGGCCACGAAACGTGTGAGGGGTGTGCCGAAATGGGCGCGGTGCCGCCATGCGAACGCAGCCATTGGGGCCTTCGGTCGAGCTCCCTATGGGGCCACGAAACGTGTGAGGGGTGTGCCGAAATGGGTGCGGTGCCGCCATGCGAACGCAGCCACGGAGGCCGTCGGTGGAGCTCCCTATGGGGCCACGAAGCGTGTGAAGGGTGTGCCGAAATGGGTGCGGTGCCGCCATGCGAACGCAGCCACTGGGGCCCTCGGTGGAGCTCCCTATGGGGCCACGAAGCGTGTGAGGGGTGTGCCGAAATGGGTGTGGCTGACGCGGAGGGGGAGGGGGGAGGAGGCAGAGGAGGAGGAAGGAAGGAGAGGAGAGGAGAGGAGAGGAGACGCGGGGCACCGTCTCTTCAAAACGAGGACCCAACACCACAGGATGATTGGGAACAAAGGAAACAACACAACAAACGCCCGATGTCTGGGCCTGGCGCGCCGCGTGGCGGCACACCTCGCGCCGCTGCGACCCTCGTCGGGCAGCTCCGAGCTGAGCCCCTGCCCGCCTGCCTCCTCGAGTCTGCTGCTGCCGGCTCCTCCCGCTGCCCCGGCCCCTCCGCGCCGCTGCGGCCACGGGCCGAGAGCCTCGGCCGCCCACCTGCCCCGGGCCGCGCGCGAGGCGTGCCCCCCTTCGCCGCAGTGACCGTCGGGTGCGCGGCCTCCAGGCTCTGAGCTTTGCGTGCCTTCCCCTCCCTTCCCCTCCTCCCCCCCGGGCCGCTTCACCTGTCCAGGGCCTCTCCTGCGCGTGGCCGGCCGGCAGCGCCCTGCTGCGCCTCGTGCTGGCGCCGGCCGCTCTTCCAGCAGGGGCCCCGCGCCGGGCCGCCATAGCAGCTGCCGTCGGTTTGGCCGCCCCCAGGCATGCCGCAGTGCTCCTGCTGGTCGTCGCGCCAGGCACGCAGGATACCCAGATCTCCGAGGGTATGATTTTTTTCAGTCCAGCGGTCTTTCTTCGCTCTCGGCCTCCGGGCCCCGTCATCGGGCCCGGGGGCCATGAAAACGGATCCGGGACGAAACCACACCCCGGGGGAAGGGGCCAGGACCGCTGGGGCCGAAGATTGAAAAATGATCGAAGACGCCTACGGCAAGTCCCGCCACCGTGCCTGGGTTGTGGGTATGAAGCGTGGTGAATGCTCGTTTGGATCTCGTGGGAGGCCTCTCGGGGGACTCTCGGAGGCAGGTTGAGGCCTCTTGGGGGCCGTTTTGGGGCCTCTCCTCGGGAGCCTCTTGGGGAGCCTCGTGGGGCCTCGTGAGGGCCTCTTGGGGGCCTCTTGGGCACCGCGGATGGAAACAAACATCGAACTGAATGATGTCTTGGCAGGAGACGTTCCAGAGGTGCCCCCGCCGTCGGGGCTCGGAGGCGTCGGAGTGCATCTTCCGCAGCGGGGGCCCGCCCAAGCAGGCAACGAGGCCGCCTCCGCCTGCGGAAGCCGGCGGAAGCTCTGCGGAAGGCGGAAGAAGTCATCGGCTACGCTTAAGTCGGGCCTGTCCTTGTGCAGGAGAAGAATTCAAAAATAGTGAAGTTATAGTCAGGGGACGATTTTTTGATGATTCCCTACCTAGGCTCTGCCTAGAAGGGTTCTTACTCTCTGGGCTTAAAGGGGCAGGGCAGTGGAAAGCGCCCCGGGCGGTTCCCCCAGTATCCGCCCCGCGGTTCCCCCAGTTACGTCCCCTTAGCTTAGCGTTGCTTATCTTATCTTAGCTTAGCTTATTTCATCTTAGCTTAGCTTAGCTTCATATTAGCTCAGGTTTATCTTAGCTTAGCTTACCTTCATCTTAGCTTCGCTGAGCTTTACCATACCAGAGCACAGCATAGCATAGCATAGCGTAGCATAGCATAGCACAGCATAGCATAGCATAGCATAGCATAGCCCAGCATAGCATAGCATAGCATAGCATAGCGCAGCATAGCATAACGTATCATACCATATCATAGCATAGCACAGCACAGCGCAGCTTGGCATAGCATAGCATAGCCCAGCATAGCATAGCATAGCATAGCATAGCATAGCGCATCATATCATATCATATCATATCATATCATATCATATCATAGCATAGCATAGCATAGCATAGCATAGCATAGCGCAGCTTAGCATATCATAGCATAGCTTAGCATAGCACAGCGCAGCATTACATAGCATAGCTTAGCCTAACATAAGATAGCATAGCATAACATAGCATAGCATAGCATAGCATAGCATAGCGCAGCATATCATATCATGACATAGCATATCATAGCATAGCATAGCGCAGCATAGCATGGTATAGCATAGCATGGTATAGCATAGCAACTAATGCTGCTTTCCTAGGGGCTCCAACTTCTAGATAGGGTCGCACTGGGGTAATTTTTGACGATTCTGGAGAACTTTTTCCCTACCTAGGCTATGCCTAGAAGGGTTCTTACTCTCTGGGCTTAAAGGGGCCAGGCAGTGGAAAGCGCCCCGGGCGGTTCCCCCAGTATCCGCCTCGCGGTTCCCCCAGTCCCCTGGGAGCTTTAGTTTTAGCTTTAGCTTTAGCTTTAGCCTTAGCTTTAGCCTAGCTTTAGCTTAGCTTTACTGTTACTACTAATGCTGCTTTCCTAGGGCCTCCAACTCCTAGGTAGGGTCGCACTGGGATAATTAAATCATATATATATATATATATATATATATATTCCGTTTTTTTTTTTTTTTTTTTTGTTTTTTTGCAATATTTTTTCGCCCGACCTACGGCTACGCCTAACCCTACTCGAACGGCGGCCGGCGCGGGGCCCCTGCTGGAAGAGCGGCCGGCGCCGGCGCGAGGCGCAGCAGGGCGCTGCCGGCCGGCCACGCGCAGGAGAAGCCCCGGGCAGGGGCGGCCTCGCAGATGCCCCCATCAGGCACCCGGTTGGCCAGGTCGCTCCATCAAGAGCTGTTGTCGCCGCGCCGGTTGTTTTCTCACCGGGCGCGTTCCACTATTCGCAAAGTGCCTACGCGCAAACGTCCGACAAAAACACATGTCTGTTTCAATGTAAGTTATCGTAGGTCCCCCCCGGCGGATCCAGGCCATTTGCGAGTACTCATTTGGCGAGTAGTGGAACGCGCTCGTCTATTCTCGACGCGGCCCAGAGTGACCTTTCGCCGGAGTGGCCTTCGGTGCGGGCCCACCTGGGTCCCCAGCTGGCTGAATGCGACGCGACAGCAGCGGCCTCCGCGCTCGGGTTTGGCACCCCCGCGGCCCCCGCTACGCCGCACACCAAAGGTCACCCTTGCCCAGGGTCACCTCTTGCGTGCAGCCGAAGCAGCAGATGCGCCCCCAAGACGTGCCAGCTATTCTCGGACTCAGCGTTTCCGGACCCCCCGCCCTTCCTGCGAGCTTCGCGGCCGCGCAGGCTCGTATCGCGGCGCCCTGCGCGCGGGCCCCGTCGCGGGCCTCGTGTCGCGCTGCGGGTGAGGCCCGCTCCCCGGGCTCACCCGCGCTCGTGCCGGGCGCTGCAGAGTGCCCCCTCCCGGGCCGCCCGTGGTCGGCCGCGCGTAGGCACCACTCGCCACTTGCTTTAAGTCGGGCCTGTCCCTCCACAGGAGGAAGATGCGAAAATAGTGAAGAAACAGTCTGGGACGACTTTGTTGATTGTTTTTTACCATTTGAAAGTATTTTTCGACTATTCTTGAATTTTCGCCCAAAATCCGCCTGTAGGGGGACAGGCCCGACCCAAGGCGTAGGTACCACTCGCCACTTGCTGGAGTGTCCTTTGGTGCAGGCCCGCTCGGGTGACCCCAGCACGGGCCTGCGCACTGGAATCTGGCGCCGCCGCGGCCCCCGAGAGCCGCGCACCAAATGCCAAAGGCCACGCCTGCCCAGGGCCGCTCCTGAATCACGTGTTGGCGACGTGTGCTGCCCCCTCCCGAGTGGTGCTGCCAGGGGTTCTGTGTTCCTGCTCAGCGGCACCCCTGGCAGTCTGTGTTGCGCGGCGACGGGGAGGGAGAACTGGGACGACAAGCGAGCTGACGACGGGGAGCGCGCAGGCGGGAGGCCAGGGCCCTCGTGACGAAGCAGGCGGGCCGGCAGGCGGGAAGGGACACAGCGGAAACAGCATACGGGGAGCAAGGGAGGAGAAGGCGAGGTCGGGTGCTGCCAGAGGCGTTCCCGGACCAGGGTGTCTTAGGACGGCCAGGGAGGCCCCCGCGGCCTCCAGCGTATCCCCAGAGAGGGCCCCGAGGGCTGCAAGACGGAGAGAAACGCTGGTGACGCCTCGTGCCGGCGACACCTTTTAGCAAGCCCCGAAAGGGTGACCCTGGAGGGGGGCGAGCAGAGGCGCGGAGAAGAGCACCCCGGCGTCCGCTTCAAGAAGGGGCAAAAATGCATGCCGCCCGCGCACGGAGGGCCTGCAGGCTGCGGTCGGCAAAACAGCCAAGCCAACGTCTGCGTGACGGCAGACCAGGCGCGCGGAAGCGGGGACGGGAGGGACGGACGGGCGGAAAGAGAGAAGAGCGGGGCCAGCGCGGATGCCTGCAGGCCCCAGAGGGAGGCGGAGCAGCGGCGGAGGTCGTGGACGGTCCAAGGGCGCGCCGGGGAGGAAGATGAGGAGGAGGAGGAGGAGGAGGAGGAGGAGGAGGAGGAGGAGGAGGAGGAGGAGGAGGAGGAGGAGGAGGAGGAGGAGGAGGAGGAGGATGGAGGGAGGAGGAGGAGGGAGGAGGAGGAGCAGCAGGAGGAGGAGGAGGCGGAGGAGCAGGAGGAGGAGGAGGAGGTGGAGGAGGTGGAGGAGGAGACGCAGGAGGAGCCCGTGGGCGGGAGGGGGGGGCAGGAAGAGGCGGAGGCGGAGCGAGTGACCGCGGCCAGGCGGGATCGGGCAGCCCGTCGCCCTCTGGGCGGGAGCGGGGGTCAGATCTGGGGGCGGGGCCGACGTCGGGGCCTCGCAGCGCGGCCCGCCGAGCGGGTGTGAGTGGAGGGTGGTGGGGGGGAGCGGGCGGGGGATGAAGCTCGGGCCGGAGGAAGGGGGGGGATTGGGAAAGGGGGGGGTGCGAAATCTGCTTTATGCAGCTGGTTTCGGCCCCACCGAGGGGCCCATTCCTCGATGCATAGCCGCCTCCGGCGCCGGGAGGCGCCGGGAAAATCAGCTATGTGAGCTGATTCTCAACCCCCCCCTTTGCTATCCCCCCCTTTCGCCCAGCCCGAGAAGCGAGGCGGGGAGGAGGAGGGGAGGGGGAGGAGCGGGAGCAGCGGTGCGCTTGGTCTTGTTCGTCGATTCTGTGGTGGCGTGCGAGCCCGCGGTCAGGTGTACGACGTCCTGGAGCTGTTCAAGATTGGCGGATCCGCGCTGCCCATAGCACCGCCGGAAGTGGGGGAGGGTGCGCGGACTGGTGGGGTTTCCGCAGGGGGACAGGGGCAGAAGGAGGGAGGGGAGATCAGGATAGATCGCATCCAGGAGGGAAGCAAGGATGACAGGGACGGAGGATGGAGAGAAGGGAGGGGATGGGGAGGGAACGGGGAGGAAGGAAAAGTGAAGGGAGAATAGGGAAGGGGGGGGTGACGCCAGGGAGGAGGGAGGGAAGGGACCACAGGAATTGGAGGAGGGAGGGAAGAGAGGAGGGACGTATGGGACGGAAGGGAGGATGGATGGAAGGGATGAGGAAGGGAAGGGAGGGAACTGAGGAGGGAGAAGGGTGGACACGTTGGGGACCCCCTCGCATCGTGATCAGAACCGCGACGTAAGCATGTTGGCCGTCTTCGACCTCTTGGGGCCCTCGCCAGGCCCCCATGTCCGCCAAGCAACGAGTCGGGACGAAAAGCTGGTCCGGGGGAAGGTGTCCAGAGCTCCAAGGATCCGCGCTGTGAACTATCCTGGCCCCCACTGGGAGAGGATCGATCAGCCCTCCCAGCGTGACCCACCTCTGGGTGTTGCGAAGCTCGGAGACGACGGCACCCATCCCCATCCATCGGGGGCGTGTGCACGTGCCTCAGGGTCATGACATCTCCCAGACTTCGTGCCCCCTCCTACTTCAGCACGCCCCCCTGCCCCCCCCCCCCCCCCCCTGGGCCGCGCACGTGCCTCGGGCTATGATGGGCGAACCTCTTGCTTGGACGCCCCCCCTCTTGGACGCCCCCGGGGGGCCAGGTCGGCCAGAGGAGCCAAGGTTCCCCCGGTGAACCTCAACGCCTGGAGACGGTGCCTTGGCCTTCGGGGCGGCCTTGACTAGTACGTGTCTAACGCGAGGGTCTTGAGGTCCCGGCGGTGACAGCGGTCCAACACCCGCTGGGGGTGCCATGGTCGCTTTCCCGTGGATAACGCAGTTGTCAACCGGGTACGCCTTCGCCGAAATTGGCGCGTAAGCTGCCCGCGTAATAACGCGCGTAAGTGCCTCCGCTTCCAGTGCAGCGTGCCGCGCTGGCGGCCCGCGTAAGCTGCGGCGTAAGGTCGCTGTGCCATCTCGCGTAAGACCCGTTTCTGATCGTCGCTCAGATGTCGTCCAGCGCTGTGCCGATCCCCGCTTGCGCAGAGTCGTGGCGCATCTCGACGTCGGGGCCGCGCGCGCGTCCAGCCGCGCGACGCGGGCGCGCGCCGTGCGCCTCGGCACAACGGCGCACGCCGCATGCGCGCGGGCCCCGCGCCTCGCGGTCCACGCGCGCGCGCACCTTTGGCGCGCCTCGCTGCGGCGCCTCGGCGCGGTGTGGCGCGCTCGCACGGTGCCTTCCTCGTGCGTACGCTCCGCCCACTTCTGCCATGTCGGCGCCTTGGCGCCCCCTCCGCTGCGCCTTTGTGGCGCCACGCGCGCGGAACTGTGGCCGTGGCCGTGGCCGTGGCCGTGGTCGTGGCCGTTGCTGCTGATGCTGCTGCTGCTCCTGCTCCCTCGCTCCCTCCATCCTCGTCCTCCCTCCCTCCCTCCCTCCCTCCCTCCCTCCCTCCTCCTCCTCCTCCTCCTCATCCTCCTCCTTCTCCTTCTCCTTCTCCTCCTCCTCCTCCTGCTGCTGCCCCTCCTCCTCCTCCTGCTCCCCCTTCCCTCCGTGCCTCCCTCCCTCCACTTCCTCCCCCCCTTCCCTCCTTCCTCCTCCTCCTTCTCCATGCTACTCCTTCTCCTGTTCCTCCTCCTCCTCCTGCTCCTCCTCCTCCTTCCTTCTTCTCCGTGCTTCTCCTCCTCCCCGCCCTCCTCCTCCTCCTCCTCCTCCTACTCCTCCTCCTCCTCCTCCTCCTCCTCCTCCTCCTCCTCCTCCTCCTCCTCCTCCTCCTCCTCCTCCTCCCTCCTCCTCCTCCCCCTTCTCCTTCACAGTTACACAATATGAGTACTACTCTCCCCTCTCCCCTGATGACGTCCGGAAGATATTCGCCCTCCCTCCACTTTTTTTACCACAGGAGTCCCGGGACTTGGGTTTTCGCTTTGTTTTTCCCAAATGCTGTTCCCGCTGAGGCGCTGGCCCCATGTTCGGGCTTCCGCTCATTCCGAAACGTGCTCCCGCCGCAGCGCTGGCCTCATATCCGCACTTCCGCTCCTTCAGAATCGTGCTCCCGCTGCAGCTCTGGCCTCATTTCCGCGCTTCCGTTCGTTCCTAATCGTGCTCCCGCTGCAGCGCTGGCGTCCTTATTTCCATTTGCATGCTGCGGCATGGTTTTCGGTCCTTCCAAGTAGGCCCCAACATCTAAACAATGAGTACCGAAAAAAAGAAAACATACCATCGGAAGTGACTACACATTCGGTGCCGATTCGTTGTTTTTTGGGAGCCGTAGACGCCCCCCCCACTTTGGGGTGTCGCCACGCCATGCTATGTAATGCTACGCGTTGATCTTCAATACCATGCTATGCCATGTACTGCTATGCCACGCTACGACATTCGACCGTGCGAATAGAGAGGGGACCTACGGACTCCCCTCCCCTCCCTCCCTCCATTCCCTCCCTCCCTCTCTCCCTCTTCCTCCTCCTCCTCCTCCTCCTCCTGTTCCTCCTCCTCCTCCTCTTCCTCCTCCTCCTCCTCCTCCTCCTCCTCCTCCTCCTCCTCCTCCTCCTCCTCCTCTGTCCTCTTCCGTAGCCATTTTTGCTCAAGGCTTTTTGTTCCCGCGCGAACAAAAGGGATACCGTGATACCCCTAGTCCGCGGCCAGTCTTCACTTTCCCGTGCAGTTTGCCCTGCGTGTGCATTTGCCTGCCACCCCAGGGGGACTGCAGGCTCCCGCTGTCCTCCGTGGCTCCTGGAGCTGCTGCATCGGCTACGTCTCCACGGTGCCAGCTCCGTGGCGGCGCGTGGCGACAGATGAGGCGCAGGCCAGGCAGCCCTGGGCTCGTGTGCCTCACGGAGGGGCTGAGGCGGGACAGTCTCGTGCTCGTGCTGATCGCCTCTGCACTGTCTGCGCCTGGGGCCACTGGACGTGGAAGGACCTCCTGGCCAAGCGTGGCCATGCTTGCGTCGGCTGCAAGGGCTCCTGCAAGACAAGGGCCATTTCGGGTGACGGCAGTGGGGGTGTCGGCTCCAGTCAGCAGCACCACGCGGAGAGCGATGAGTGGAGGCCCAAGGGAGGACGCCGCAAGCAGCAGCCTCCTTGGGCTGAACCCGTGGAAGCCACGCTCCCAGACGACACCCTTGCCACTGTCAAGGAGGCAGCCTCCAAGTTGCCAGCTGTTGAGGCTCAACGTTTGCTGGCGCCTTTCCTGCCTAAGCCTGTGCCCGTACCAAGTCTCTCGCCGCAGGTCGAAAGGCAGCGAGCCGCGCAGGCTAAGAAGGTCTCCCACGAGAAGTTCGAGACTGTTCTGGCTTGCAGGGGGGCGCTCGACAAGCACCTGGATGACTTCATGGCGAAGGATATGTTCAATGCCGAGGTGCTGGAGCAGGCCACCAGGATCTTGGCGAGTGGGGCCATCAAGCAGCCAGAGGCGCCCCCGAAGAACACCATCTTCCTTGATGCGCTGTCCAAAGACTCGGCTGACCAGTTGTTTTTGGATTTCGGAGACGAGCTCGGAGACGAGCTCGACGTCTCGGGGCCAGCGATCAGTTGTGAGGATCGTGGCGGCTTCGAGACCTTCAAGGTCGAGCAGTCCAAGAAGGCCACCACGCTCCTCCATGCTGCTCTCACGTCGATCAAGACGCAGTCCCATGAGAATTTTGGGCGAGTGCAAGAAGCGTATGGGCGAGATGCGCAAGAAGCGTAAGACCGAGACGGGTGATGTGGTCACTGGTGTGGCTGAGCCAACGGTACTTGCAAGGCGCGTGCTCCCACGGTTGAGCGGGTCAAGGCTGCGGCGGCCAAGGCCAAGCAGCAGGCCAGGTAGGAGGTTTAACGTCGCCACCCTGGAGGATTGGCCCACCCGCAGCGTGAGCTCTCCTAGCTGTCCAAGTTCGGCCTCTTCACATTCAATCTCGCCAGTTGCGCCGCCCGCATCGGCGGCGGGATCCTCGCTCGGGTGCGTGGGTTTATCTTCGGGCACCTGTTCCGACGGCCTCCGGGGGGGGGTCCCAGGCGGCCCCTGGGGGGTCTGCTGAAGGGAGGGGTCGCTGACCTCCGAAAGCGGACAAAATGAGACATCGACCCCCCCCCCCTCCTTTAGTGTACTGGGGCCCCCTCGGTGCATCGATGGGGGGGGGGAGGGTAGTGTCCCATTTTCGGGCTTCTGGGGTCTGCCGCGGCCCTCTCGTCCGGGGCTCTCCCGGGGCCCTCTTGGGCCGTCCTGGGGGGTCACCGTCTCCCGCCTCTCTTCTCCTTGCCCAGCAGGCTGACCGCTCCTGGGGCGGCGACCTGCGTCGCGCTCGAGGGCGGCGATCTGCGAGGACCACCCGAGATAGCATCAACGGCCCTCGCACCACCAAAGCCCAAGTCGTTGCGACACAAGGGGACCGCCCCGCGACGGGAGTACGGGGCCTGCTGAGTCCCCGTCCTCTCCCCCGCCCCTTCTCCTCTCGCGCCCCCGCGTCGGCCTGCTGTATGTCCGTGGCCCCGTCGGCCTTGGCTACGCCGGTGTCGGCCACCTCTACGCCGAGAGTGGCGTCTACTGCAGGATCGTCCTTGTCCTCTGGCCTTGGGGCGCTGTCTCTGTCCGATGGCTGGCGCAGGCTCTGGCAGGCTTGCGATGTGGGAGGCGCCGCCAGAGAGGGGGCGGGCGGCCCTTGCTCCCGAGGGTGCGCGGCCCTGCAGGAGCCTAGTGGACGGCAGACCGCGAAGCTGCATGGTGGCCAGCCTATTTCCAGCTTGGTTGGGGGCTGCGTTACTTCCAGTGTGGGTGGTGCTTTGCCGCGTACTCCCAACGTGGGTGGATCTATGGCGCCGCCTATTTTCAGTTGGGGTGGGCGCGCCGCCGTCCTGGACGAAGCTCAGCTTATTTCTAGCGTGTGTGGGTGCCGACGTATTTCCAT